TCAGAAGGTATTAACCCAAACCCAATATAGATTTAGATGCGTCGCGACAAGCTCTACAAAACCTGATATATAGCTTTCTGCTTCGACATACTTTCGAAAACCGGCAGGGTCCTTTATGATAAACAATGAAAGCAACTCAAGCTATTTAATATTCCTGATTTGTATCATCATCATAATAAAAAGACATGAGTATAATTTGCTTAATCCAAATGTTTCTGTCTTATGAAACTTTTTCTCTTTCAGAGCGAAATATAAACATTCAATTATCATCCAGACCTGACTTCCATTATTTTTTTAAAGATTCGTTTCCTGTGATAATAGTTTATCTTGTGTTCCGTTCTTTTAGAGCTTTCAACTTCTGTCGTTTTGCTTTATTTCATCCTTTCAACTTTTCATTTTTACACGAAAAAGATGAATTCCTTCATATCGTTTGCGATATACAAGATAAAACAAAACAAAACAAATTTTGAAATGTGTGTATCCGTTTAACTAATCAACCAACTTTCTTTAACGACCACCGATGATTGTTCCATGTAAATCGTTGATTGTTTATCCGAGTGAGTTCAATACATTCAAACCATGACCCATCAATTGATCTTGTAATAGTTCCCAGTGTGGTTTTTGATGCATCTAAAACTCCGCTAACAATCTGTGTTAAGTTACTAACAACGCCGTTTAAAGCAGTTTGGCCATCTTGAACAAGTGTTGTAATTTGTGAGGTGAAACCTTGAAGAAAAAAATGTAAGTGAAGACATTTTTAAATATTGCTGTTTTTCATCTTACCTGAAAAGATATCTTGAATACCACGACTGCCAATGGCTCCCAAAACTGCTGATAAACCTTGATTTAAGAAATATTCTCCTAAACCAATGACTGTTGTTGTAACTTGATGTAAGAATTGTTGGAAAATTTCTGCGATGGTAATTCTAGCGGCTGCTACACGTCCACCAAGGATACTTTGAAGATTGAAGATGCTTCCCAATGATCTTACTGCTTGAGCAAGAAGTTATTGAGTAGTGATTGAATAAGGGTTACGAAGTCAGATAACACATTGGATAAATCCAATCTAGCTCCTTAGAATCAAAACAAAAGGTGATATCGAGATTGATTATTAGTACTCATGATGTATCTCCTAAACCATTGATTAAGGTTTGTAATTGTTGTGTAGCTCGTTGAGCTAATGATAATATTTGTTATTGAACTAAACTCAAAATTATTATTAATACAAACAATGACTGATACAATTAACATCATAAAAAGAGCACAATGATATGTGCAAAACATTTGTTTCAACATTTTTGAACTAGAGTTAGTTTGTTATGTTGTTTCTATTGGTGCGTTTGAGATTACAAGGATAAGTGCAGGTGAGAAAAAAATCACTGAAGGTCAACCTGAAATAACTGTGTGCTTCTGAGGATCTGCTGAAGTTTCCAGTTCGAATGTATAGTTATTAACAGTTAGTAAAAGTTAAATTCTAGCCACTAACAGTTACTAACATCTAAAGAAGATAGGAGCTGCATGCTCGACTCATAAAAGAAAGTATATTGAAAATTGCGAATAAAGTTGTTTTCTACAACATTTAATGTGACGTAATATTTTCCAGCCAGTCATTTATATGGGCGTATGTGAAGAAGTAAAAATGAACTTAGCACAATCGATGCAATGTTTTATTCATTTTCGCGTGTGTCCAAAGGTGGCATTTTTCTTAAGGTTCAGACAAAAAGTTCGTCCAATTTCAATGCGATAAAACATTGGTTTATGTTATTTTTCTGCAGACTGCAGTCAGAGTGTTTCTGACACTAATACACTTCTAATATTTTTTGCACAAATGAAAGAGGATTGAGAAGTATATATAGCTGACAATAAATAGCGGTATTTTCTCATGGATTTAGTATGAACAATTGCGATGGAATAAGATAAAGGAAAATCATTTTAAGACAATTCCAACACTTTCAATGCGTTTTGTCGATCAACAATATATAGTCCGTAATCCTTGTACATAGTGATATTAGGCGAAGGTAGTAGGAGTTAACTTTCCATCAACAAAAGTCTCTTGATAATAGTCATGGCCATGAGATCGACCAGCGGCAAATGCCGCTAATCCCATCGAGAAGAATGTCAATAAATGCGCTGTTTGAAATAAATTTGCGCTATAACTATTGTAAAGTGTGACTCGAGATCCTTCAGCTAACGAGGCAAGCATAAATAATGATGCAAGAAAGAGTAATATGGGCGAAATAAGACTAAGAATCCCGGAGAACTGCATGCAAGCCATTGCAAATGCAATTATTGTTCCACATCCAAGAAATATAAGACCTACAACAGCTAGAGCACCGGCATGCTGTGTAATCAGGCCTAAATTAGTGTTACGCTGCATATCTACACATTGAGATGTATCATTGACTAAACTGCCTACGCACTGCGTGAAAAAATTATAATATTGAGTATTGCCAGATATGTTTATATAATACCAAGATGGAGTTGCCGTCCCAACGATGGCAAGAACAAGGGCAATAAAACCGAAAACACCAGCAGCTACCGCAATAACTCGACTTGCAGGATCTACGATTGTCGTTGTTCTGTACATTACCAGTCTAAAGCACAAACAAAGAAGAGGATAAAAATGATCGATATAGATTTTCCAGTGAATTTTTCTTTTATTTTTATTATCAAAAACTGATAAGTTTCTTTCAGTCGAAAGAATTGCGTAGTCAAGATGGAGCTTAGCTTTCTTCGTTCTAGTGCTCGACTTGGCCAAACATTAAAGAGTTTTAACAGCAAATTCATATATCTGTCGAACCACATGAGATAGAAAGCTGCAAATTTTATCACAGATTTACGATCTAAGACCCTATTCTTGAAAATTTGGTGCTCAGAAAAGTTTCATTTTTCTCAAAAGAAGAGATCTTAAAAAAAACCGCTTATTTCTCAAATTAAAGTTAAAATTACCGAGCATCTGAATCACTAATCAATTTATTTTCAACTGTTTTATTCAAAGAAAAGAGTGAAGAATGGCCGTCGTTACGATATTTCACCGATTCTTCTATTTCATCGTCTCAAACTGAAAGTAACACGTCCCTCATCACTGTAACATAGCCTGATTTTTGAAATTTCAACTACCTTTTCTATTTGAAATATTATTCTGGAGAAGCTGAACACTATTTCTCGAATTTTTGGATTTGTTATGTCTCCGGTTATTTGGAAAAGCAAATATCCAAAATCGGGTTCTGTCATCCCATAGAGCGCTATTTTAGCTTCAATCTAAGATCCAACTCATAAAATATCGTCTCGAGTTGGAGGACGTCTTATTTGGTTCAGAAATGTTCGCTATACAAATTGGTATGCATGAAAATATTGCTGTCTTCAATTTCCTATGGTTATGTTGGAGTTGACTCTAAAACTCAGTTGTCTTTAAAAGATAACTAGTTAACTCTAAAATTTGAAAGTCCACTAGTCCACTCTTCAATTTGATAATCACCTGGATTGTAACTAGTTGACTCAAAAATTCTGAAGTCAAATAGTTCACATTGAAATGCAGAAATATAAAATTGACTGGCGCGAAGTATATCCTATTTTACCATTCTGAGTAGCAACTGTACTGGTAATTAAGGTTATATCACGACTATGAATAAAAGCTGTCTTTGAGTTCACAATAAAATTTTTCCACAACTAAGTAAACATTTTGTTAGTAGATTTATACAAATTTTAAATCAATCGAAAATACTTGTAAACTAGTTGACTTCAAAATTTAAAAAACAACTGCCTTCCATCTAGTTGACGTCCAAATAGAAGAGTGGACTAGTTGACTTTCAAATTTTAGAGTCAACTTCAACACTAAAAAATTACCGTTCTAGAAAACGTTGCCAAAAGCCTTCGCCGACATCTAGGTCATCATGGATTTTGATAATAGACCCCTTGGACTTTTCAGTGGTGCGCTTGGCTTAATATTGATGTTTTAGGAAAATTTTGTATTTCTGACAGATTCTGAAACGTGTTTCAGAAATCTAGTTTAGACGGGTAGATATTACAATCAACTGTCCTCTTTCAAATTCAGCAAAAATTTAAATCAAAAAGAAGTTTCTAATTTGGGTAAAATCTCTCAGAAAAAGAGGCCTAAAATATTTTATTGAAAAATTAGTCAAACTTGGGTTCCTGTATAAAATGACTTTGCCATAAGCACTTTTCGATCAAAAGAGTCAGTTTTGTAAATAATTTGATTTTCCATCGAATGGGCGCGTTCTTATAATTTTAATAGAAAATAAGTGAGTGAAGAAAAATTTTCAAAAAATTTTAATTTAGAGATTCCCCAATATGAAATTTATACCTTCGATTTAAAGTTGATGTTCACAATCAGCGTCAAAAACTGTACCTATTGTTGAGTCCGATAAGAAAAAAAAATTTTGCTAAAATTTCCACATGCTGCAAGATCGTTATATAGATGAACAAATCGTTCATGTGTTTTCAAAGATCAGATCCGATTATTTCACAAGACTTTCAACAAACGTGTAAAACATGCAGCAGAATTTTTGAAATCTTAACTATAAAAATCTGAACAACATCGTAAAATCAACAACTCGTAAAACTAATTTTATCACGAATACTTAGAAATAAGGCATAAAATAGTGCAAAACCAAGAGTACCATAATACATAAGGAAGGAGACTATTTCTCTTTTGTAGGTACATCCGATAAAAAGGTAATACTTCAGTTCTTTTCAAGTAAAGTTGATTTCTAACTTTGTTAAAGTTTAACAAACACAAAACATTTTCGAACAAAAAAGTAACTGACTGAGATCAGCACTGAGATCAGTTGATGGTTTGGTTTACTGTAGTGATCCCTAAAACCACGATTAGACGGCGAATTAAGCATTGTCAAAAAATACAGACACTTTGACATTGCAAAATCATATTCAGTTGTGTAAACTATGTCTTACTTTTAATTAAAATCACTAGAGATATCCTTCAGATAAATTGAGTGAAATATAAACTGCTATGTCATCACCAACTGGAACACATATACATTATTATTGTAAGATTGATATAAACTGAGCTGTTTCAGACTTAGAAAAACAGGTTTTTTTTTTCTTTCTTATTTATACATAATCTTTCTATAATTCAAGGTTATGATTGTTTTTTAAGCATATTGTAACCAAAAAATTTTGAAGTACTACAATATAAATAACAAAAATATTATAAAACAAAAAACTTTTTTCTGCTCTTTTTACAGGTGAAAAGTACCTGCCAAAAAACAGGGATGTCTTATTACATGGAGTTTCGATAAGCGTGGAGAATTAAACAAACAAAAAAAATAAAATATGTACAGAAGAAAAGAATTCGATGTTAATAATGAGTAATATTACACGTACTAACATCATACACACGAAAGTATTCCGAAAGCTTAGAGTTGTCAAATTTTCTCTTTCTGTCAACGAACGTTTGTTACATATATGTAAAATTGAGTTCATGCCAATGCTTAGACACTCTTATTTAACTGTCCACACATACAGAACACATGAAATGAGCTTTTAACCATATAATCTACCTTGAGATTCTTGTCATTGAGAAAGAATGATATATCAAATATTTGACTTTTGTATATTTCTTTAAGATCCGAATCTTATCATGTATCGGTGGAAATAAAGTAGTTTTTTACACTTCCTCTCTCGGATAAAACAACAATAAAAGTTACTTTCCATAAAGATAATATAATTCATTTTTATGTCTTTCACACCTTCTTTCTCTTGAACATATAATTCAAGTGACAATATGTTCCATTTTCTCTACTCTGTTTATGCTATTTTTCTAGTGACATTCACCCATTATTATCAATTTTACATTTACATTTGTCATATTTTCTTGATGATGGTGGAAGTTAAGGATCGAAAGCTTGAAAATCAAACAAAACTGAATTTAGATTTTATAAAAACCTCTTGATGTTCTTCGTAGCAATTTTATACTCAAGTTTCTGTGCACTCTTTATTTTGGTTGAATTGTGCAAATATTTAATATTTCAGAAATTGTGGTTGTTTGAGTAACAGGAATATTTTCAGACATGATTTCTAACATTCGTAGCAATTCACTATGACAGATGTAGTTTGAGTGCAAACGTTAGAACTTCTACTTTAACTGATGAGGAAGTGTTCCTTAGTGGTTATTTTGATTTTACTGTAGCAGACTTTTTGTAGAATTTTTGTTGATGCTGATCAAAATATCATAATCTGTCTGGCTCACAGACCTTCTCTAGGTAGGTCTACAGAAACCAAGTTCTTACAGTGGGACAAAAATTACTTGTACGATTTTGTTTTAATCATAACTCGGTAACAAAAAAAGCTTTTGACAAGCGGTTTACGCTAAAATATCCTCCGCTTTCCCTAGTATATTTGTAGATAAAACAAGTTAGAAATATTCATTGTTGCTCTTTGTAGGCCCATTAGGCCGAAAAATGAAAGTCTTCCGGTGGCAAAAATTATTTGTACGGTTGATAAAAATCTTTTTTTATGCTGTATAGGCGCCGACAAAATATGAAAACTATATCAATAGATAGAAGAGAGCGCGGGCTACATTTTGGTAAAAAAAATAATTTTGAAAAGCTTTTTCCTTAGAGTGAAAACGCGATTTAAAGTCAAAAGTGCCATACTCTTCATCTCAGGTATGAGTGACTGAAAAAAAATTCTGATTAAGTCATTCGAAAGAGCGTCCAAAACTAATTAAGATAAATATAGTGTGGAACTTAGAATAGAATTTGATCCATCTTTTAATATTTTGGAGCATGAGGCTCTTTTTGAAATATCTTTTCTGCCGGTTTTGATGTTCAGAAACCCGTTTTTCCCTCTGAACTTAAGAGTCTAATCCTATATCCCGATCAGGATATAGAAAAAAATTAATATCCCGATCGGGGTATAAAACACAAAATTTCATCGTAAAAACTTGTATACATATATTGAAACACATTTCTTTTCTCATGCGTTGAGAATGTATAAGTGTACGTACTTTGTGTTTAACGGGGAATTTTCCAACTATTCATCCGTGCAGATAAACTGCCTTATGTCTTTTATAAGTGAATCACAACTTGCTGTATCTTTTAAAACATATAACAAGTGTGCAGCCAGCATTTCTGAAGATGCCAAGAGAACATCATTCCAGGTGTTACGGCATTTGTACTCATATTGCACGGCACGGCAACTACCCTTTCAAACTAATTAGATTTGATAAAAAACATGTTAATGTGAACGTTAGAAATTACACTAACCAACAAAAATGTTTTAATATCCTGATCAGGATATAATTTCAAACTATATCTCGTTCGGGGTATTAAAACAATTTTGTTGTAAGAAATGAATATCCAGATCGGAATATATATCCAGATTGGGAAGTAAGGCGCCGCTAATTCAAAAATCAAGTTGGAAAAGCTTTTGAATTTTCAAGCACATATTCTGATTGGTCGGAC